CAGATGCAAGAATGTGGACAGCCTCCATCGGAACTTGTTGGAGAAATGGTATGATCAGTTCTAGGTGTATGTAATGAGGTCGAGACAATTATTCAAGTTGTAGTGTTTTTTTCGTTTATGTATTTCCAGCCTATTTTGCATTTGAATAAAGGCTGATAGTTTCGAAAGAAACTGTTTGTGGCTGCGTCGGTGGGAGTAACGAAATAATTTGGATATATCAATAAAGTTGAAATGGTAAATTGGCCACCGCAACAATTACAAAAGCTGACGTTTCGAGCGAAGGGCTAATGCTCAAAACGTCAGCTTTTGTAATCGTTACGGTGGCCAATTTACCATTTCAACTTTGTTGATATATCCAAATTGTTTTGCATTTGACTGCCTTATTGGTCTTTAGTGGGTGGAGAAACATTTGGGCTACACCTGTAAGTTAAGAACAGGAATTTCACAATAATTATTATCTCCAAGTGGTGGCAACATCAGCTGTTTCCAGATTGAACTGCAATTTGGAAATTGGATTTTTGAGGAGGGAAGAAATGCTGGCCCTTAGTAGAAGGACAAGAATTGACAATAGTTTTGCTTCTTCTTCTCATTGATATTAATGTCAGACATTAGTAACTCTTTTTTCTCAATCAGCCACCAGGGTTCACTGGGCCTTTTCCAGAGATGCCGGAAGTGGCACCAGAGTTACCAGATGAACTTAAAAATGAGTGCAAAGTGTCTTAACCTTTGTAAAACAAGAACCAGAACAGTGCAGCAACACATACTGCTTGCAATGGACAAAACAAGCTCTATGGAAGGGCTATCCTAGTTGATATGTTTGACTGCCAGGCTACCAAAAAGAACATCTGAGACAAGGACAGAAAAATGATATTGACATTATTATTTAAAAGTACTTTATCATTTCATTTGTGTTAATGAAAGAAATATTATTATTGGCCTGCAACTATTTGAATTGATATACTGCTGGTTGGTGCCACTGTTGTTGGGAAGCGAGGGAAGATTTTAACAACTAAATAGAAGTTATCATGAGTCAAGTTGGGATGTTTCATAAAACTTGTTTTATATTTATTTTGATGACACTACCATTTCATTTGTGTCTAAGAATCTCAATGCTCAGATCATAGTTTTAGTTTTGTGGCTGAATGATTAGTTTAGCTATGGTGTAATGAGTTAGCTGACTGTCCACTATTGACAATCTCATTGGAGACAGTATTGCTGTTGTGAAATGTCTCTCCTTTAAGAATGTTTTGAGTTACTTTTGGATAGATAGATAAATACTTTAGTGGTAAATACTTTGCAGCATGACCTGAATTGGGTATTCACAGATATAAAATAAATATTACTATGTACATGTATTCATCTTATTATTAAAAAATACGTAATTCGTCGTAAGGGGGAACTTGTACATTATTTGTGGCTGTTGACTATTCTGGCCGAAGCAATAAAAAAACTGTTTTTAAGCCTATTTGTCTTGCAAAGTGGCAAAGCAAAGGTACACTTGTGCCTTAACCTATGAGAGCTTACACAGCGGGGTGGTAAAAGTTTGTTTAATTTGTGCTGAGGATCGTTCACTATGTTGCAAAATGTTGCTGTACACATATTTTCATGGTGGTCTTGCACAGTTGGAAGATTCATAATAGCTAAGACCTTAAATCTCCTTAAATCTCTGGTTGGGTGGGGGGTGTTTTAAGTAAAACAATCCTCACGCACAGGGGTGAGGGTACACAATTACACTGTTTTATACACTCACAGTCACATCATGTTTCAAGGTCATGTTTTCCAGAACAGACACACAGGACAAAGAAATGGTTTTTAGTGTGTATATTAGATGGGTGCGTAGAATATAGCTCAATTGGTTAGAGCGCTGGATTGTGTTGTGCCGGAGGTTGAGAGTTTGAGCCCCAGCAAGACCAATACTCATGGTCTTAAAATAACCGAGGAGAATTTGCTACCTTTCTAAAACAAGAAATGGATAGATATTCTAGTCTTCTTGGATAAGGACAAATAAACCATAGACCCCGTCTCCAGCAGGGTTAGGGGTAGGAGATCTTAATTTCCCACGCACGAGACTACTGTGTGGTGGATGTCTTCCACTGGGGTGGGATGGGTGGGTGTTGGCCCTTAAAAGCCCTATGGGGAGTGGTGAATTAGCCTATGTAACCTATTTAACCATGTATACAGAGGACAATTTTTGTTGCTAATTCAAGCAGTCCTTGTTCCAAATGTACCTCAACCTTTCACCCCCACGAGTGACTGAGGTAGAATTTCTCCTTACCATATCAATACAACATCGATATAATATCAAGTAGAAAGATGATGAGAATGAAGAATATCAAAAAAGGCATTACTAGTTGATCCAAAACCAAATTCTCTGAACCAAAATGATAAAAATTGTAATGCAGGGACTCAAGGGCTCTTTAGTTCACTGAAGGCATTATCACATTCACCTTCTGTAAAACAAATTCCTCGTGATTGTGAGACTTTTTATGTGATTAAAATAAGGGAAAATATTTCTTAAGAATGGATTAACAGACGATCGGGTATATTGCAAAGTTACGCCATTTTGTACCCCAACTTATACTACTTAACATCAATGTCATTAATTCATCCTTATTTAACTTACGGTCTTGCTGCCTAGGGTCAAGCTTGCAAGACTTGTCTTCACAAATTACTAATTCTTCAGAAAAGAGTGTTTCATTTATCATACTTTGCCGAATGGCATGACCATGCAAGTCTTCTTTTCTTCAATGCTAACATGCTTCCAATAACTTTTCTTTACTATGAGTCCATATCAACGTGAATGCATGATTTCAATGATGGTAAAGCCCCAGCAAACATGTTAAATTCATTTCAGAAAGCATCTAGTATCCACTCATACAATACACAATCTTCTACGTCTGGCAAGGTTTAGGTTAAATATTCTAGACCTGAAATACGAAACAATTTTTTCTCGGCTCGGAGTTAAACCGTGGAATGGGATACCAAGCTACATAACCAATCTCCCAAAGAAAGCTTTCAAAAAAGAACTCTGCAAATGTTTACTGGATATATTAGTAAGGGAGGATGAGTATATTGAAATCCCCATGATTATTAAAAAGGTATGATCACTGAAATGCATGCTTGAGGGTCCCATTTCACATCTGTTTTCTTTTACAACTCCTTGTCTTTACACATTGTTGATCCGTAACTTCTGTGTTTTATATCTAGTTGCAATCTACAAGGTTTTTTTTCTATCAACATAGGTTTGCCTTACTTATTCTTCCATAACTTGTTATATTGATCATGATTGAATCTTGTCAGCACCTTAGGAAATGTATAGAGAACAGTATAGAGAATATGCATACTGATGTTACGGTGTAATGGGTCAATACTATTTCCAACCCATTTACTCCTTGTGGGAACGAAACCAAAGGATAAAGTTGCTAAGTTTCTATTTCTTCTTGTCAGATTTCCTTTCGAAAAAGGAAAAAA